CAAGAGTTACCACTGAGTGTCTTTATTCTAATCACGATATGCTGCACGTGATTATACGCGCCAATCTTGCACGAGACAAATGGTGCATTTAGAGTCATGGATCACGTGATACGTTCATGAGCGTCGGTTCATACAACATACCAGTATGTTCGTTTGTGCATCGAACCAATCTAATACCACTTGAATATGGGGCGGTCAGGTAGCCTAGTGGTTAAAGTGTTCGCTCGTCACGCCGAAGACCCGGGTACGATTCACGACATGAGTACAATGTGTGAAGCCCATTTCTGGTGTCCCCCGCCGTGATATTGGTGGAATATTGCTAAAAGCAGCTTAAAACCATACTTACCCACTCACTCACTCCCTTGAATATTAAGAATTATTCATATATTAACCGACTCGTTAGTAGTCGTGTTTCTTTTGGCGGTGAGTATATATGGTGGCAAAGTAGACACAATTTAAGGATGACTTCTTCAATACAATATTATGGAGACGTTTCGATACAGATTCGAGTACCGTTGTCAAACAAGACTTTGTATAATGATCTATACCGAAACGTCGCTATGACAGAAAAGAAGTTAATTTCCATAATTGTGTCTCCTGTGTCATCCGTCAACTTCTAAGAGATGCCTATCAAACAGTTCATCTTATGTAGTGGTTGGTTTGTAGTTCAGGGTCTGTATATTATCCAAATCAGGTGCGAAAGTTGATTAGTCATCATGGCGGATTCGTGAGGTTGTCGGCGCTGATACTTTGCAATAGGTTTAAACGTAAGTCATCATATGCTGTTTGGTGTTTACACAAACATCTACGACCTGGCCGTGGGTTCGAATCCAAGATTCGCCGCCATTGTGATAATTGGTGTTGGTACCATTTCCGTGCTTGAGGGTTTCACCTTGTCTGAAAAACGTCTAAGACTTGCGCCACTCTGGCATCTATGCTTTATGAAGCCGATCTCATTAATACAATTAGATCTCAGAGCTCGCTTCCGCTACATAAAGATCTGAGGACATTCAATTACAGGTCACGTCAGATCGACCTTTCGCGAACTTTGACTGACCTTGAAATGTAACTAACAGGAAGTCGACATTAGCCAATCAGAAAGTAGCTTTCTCGAGGTTTATGATACTATTTTCAAACAGGCGACTTCCATTCCAGACCACGCTTTGAAAAATATTGTGACAGACAAAATTTGAAATTTGAACGAAGGAAAATGGCCGAGATGGCCGACATTATATGACAGTACTTCACACGGGCTATTGAAAGTGAAGCGAGAGATTGACGATAGTTTTGACGGAACTATCATTCGGAATGCCTCGTGTTAACCGCTTGGTGGTTGCATGATTAGAAAACACATTCGGGCTTACACTTTCCCGATCTTGTGGCGAGGCGTGTCCTGAAATGGGATCTGTCTATGTGTAGCGGGGGCGGTCGGGTAGCCTAGTGGTTAAAGCGTTCGCTCGTCACGCCGAAGACCCGGGTTCGATTCCCGACATGGGTACAATGTGTGAAGCCCATTTCTGGTGTCCCCCGCCGTGATATTGGTGGACTGACATCAAGCTTGAGCGCTGGAATGCTGTTCAAAGCGACTCTGGAACAAAACTCACGCACTCATCAAGGTTCCTCGTAATTGGAATTTTATGGGAAAACGTGAGAACAAACTTTTTAACAAAAATCCCAATATATGGTTCTGCGGCACCAAGAGTGGATGAGTGTGGTTTTACGCCACTTTTAGCAAAATTCCAGCAATATCTCGGACGGGGACACCAGACATGGGCTTCACACTTTGTACCTTTGTGAGGAATCGAACCCGGGTAACCACTAGGCTGCCCCAAAGCCCCCAGAACCAAGAGGGTTAATGATATCCAGATATACGTTGGGATGATATGACACAGAAACATATTTTCACGTATGGTATTATGTGCAGCGTAATGGTCGTGGTCGCAGTGATGGTCGTCGTCGTGGTCGCAGTCGTGGTCGTGGTCGCAGTGGTTGTTGTCGTCGTAGTCGTATTCCTTGTCGTGGTTGTGGTCGCAGTGGTGGTAGTGGCGGATGTTGCCCACGCAAACCCTTACAACGTTCAAGGTCACGTCCCTGTATGCTGTATAATGCAATGTGCAAATATTCCTTATCAAAATATAACTATGAACAATAAATAATACGATAATCCTACTTCTATTCTCGAAGCAAAACATCTTACAACATTATTTCTTTGGAGAGGTACCTAAGGCTGCATTATCTACAAAATATTGGATGTTATTTTTACGCATTAATCGTCGAGTACCTTCAACACATACTGCAATGTATTATTTACAATAATATTACACCTAGGTATACCGTAAGAGGCGACTAACGGGATCGGGTGGTCAGGCTCGCTGACTGGTCCATGCATGTCATCGTATCTCAACTGCGTGGATCGATGCTCATGGTGTCAGTCACTGGATTGTCTGGTCCAGACTCGATTATTTACAGACCGCCGTCATACAGCTGGAATATTGCTGAGTGCGGCGTTAAACAACAAACAAACACACAAACCAAGATTTACATGACGAATTACTTTAATTTGAGCAAAATTAGAATGTAAAAATTTCGGTTCGTCATTTCAACTCTCTGACTAAATGATAGAGACCTCAATAGCAAACTAATTTTTTTGGCTCGGGTGCAAAAACCTTAGTGACAAGATGATCCCTCGCTATTCATGTGTCAATATTAATCATATAGTTTAATCACATAGTAACTTTCGCGACGCACATGGGAACGAGAACTGAAAAGAGACGAAGGTTATGACTCAAGAAGGCGTGTCTCTGATTGAAAAGAGGTTTTCATGCCTTCAAGTTATCAGTAAGGGAGTTGCCTCCCTTAGGTAAACTCATAGTTCCCGTACAGACAGACACACAGACAGACAGAAGATTTTATTTACGTCTAACTCGTGGGGATACATGCATATAACATTAAGAATTAAGCCATGTATTGTACACGACCAATCGCTTAGCGATTTATGAGAGACACTTTAAAACTTAAGTAAAATATATACAACAATGCAATACATTAAAACACATATGTGCACACATAAAACACTATTGATGTAAAAGCTGGCGTCTCTTTGTTAAAAATATCATGGCAGGCTTTGGAAGAATAAAAGCTAAGGTCCGGGCTGGATAAAATACATAAAAACTGCTCACTGGGTTGTTTACTTGTACGTACAGTGAAACCTCGTTAATTCGGACTCTTCCGTCCCATGCCAGACCGTTCGGATTAACTAGTCACGGGTACGTAGTAACATCCATTTGAATTTATATTGTCGTTCCGGAGCGGTAGGGTAGGTGGTGGTTTAAGCGTTCACTCGTCACGCGAGGGCCTGGGTTCGATTCCTTACATGGTTGAAATTGCTGGAATATTATATTACCGGGATAAACGGGGTTTCGGGTCTGACGGGATCCGGATTAATGGGGTTTCAAGACTAACGGGACCCGGATTAACGGGGTTTCGAGACTAACGGGCATTCGAGACTAACGGGATCCGGATTAACGGGGGTTCGAGACTAACGGGATCCAGAATAAGGGGGTTTCGAGACTAACGGGGTTATGTCTTTACGGGGTCCGGACTGGGGGTTGCACTGTGGTTGTTCACAAGAGCTAAAGGATGCTTTCTGTTACCGCAAGGTATTATGGTATATTCACAGAAATACGACCAGGATGCCGTTCTGAAAACGGTTTAGGCTTGACATCCTTCCGTGTAATCTCGCTAAAAAATGCTGTTGAATTATGCATTACTAATCCATATTGTTTTTACTGACGCCGATGTAACAATGGTTTTCCATAATAAGGTAGAGGATATCTGACGAAGGTTTCATATGGGACAGTGGAGATTGCAACGATCGACTGGTGCGATGAAAGGTTATTTTTTGTTTCCATGGTGATGGCGTTTTATAGTGTGCACACCTGATTAATGATTGATCCGTCAATTAAGATTGTGAATAAATATATTGAAGTTATTCTAAGGATCCGCGCTCAGGTGTGATATTCTAACATTCGCTTTGTGAATATTTAATTTAAAGCCATGAAATCGCTCAACGTGTGGGCTTTTGTGTGATTTTGTTGTAAAAAATGTTAATGCTTTATATGCTGATAACAAAGAGGCAGGCTACTGTGCTGGGAATACGATGTAGTCCCGCGTGCCTCATCCCGACGTCATCTTGGTCAAGAAGTATTTAATTCTATACGTTAGTATCTTTCATACTACACGTTTAAATACTTTATTAACTTTTCTTCTGTAATAACTTTGATACGACAAAAAACGGTTATACTGCAATAAATTTATTACTATAATAACGTTAATAGTATGATACAATCATAATTTAGTTTCAGTTATTCATCCTTGATGATTATTGCAACGTAAACCTTGTTCAAACACTCGTAGTAATTTTTTAAATTTTTGTCAAACGATTAAGTACTTTAATACTAACAGAAAAACTAACTGACTGACTGACTGACTGGCTGGCTGGCTGGCTGACTGACTGACTGACTGAATAAATGAAATAAATAAATAAATAAATATATATATATATATATATATATATATATATATATATATATATATATATTATATATATATATATAAATAAATAAATAGTTTTTGATAAAAAAAATTGTACTTAATAAATATTAAATAGATAAATAAAATAACTAAATAACTAGATGAATGAAGGAATGAATAAATAAACAGCTTTCCAAGCGCAGTCCTGCGTACTGCATATCCCTTCAGGTATTGTTGTTGTATCAGCTGTTCGTATTGCAAACAATAGTCATTGTTTGTTATTGTCTAACAATGGAGTCCAGGTAACATGAGTATCAACACCAACATTGTCGCAGCACCGCACGAAACCGCAGCCTCGGAGACTAAACATATCAATCTAGCACAACAGACCCTTGTGAATCCGGACGCAGCCACCTCACCGTCGGATGAATATTGGATGATGTTTACAGTATTGATTCGGTTTATAGGCAGTGACCCGTCACGGCGCACCGTGGGAAGCTATGTACGGTATTGTCTACCAACATCTCAGTCAGTTCAAGTAGTATTGATGGGCGGAGGGGACGGGCGGGATTGGCTGTAAATAGAAGGAAATAGGTGCGATTATGCGAGGACGTTACGATGTGGATTCATTGATTGCTGGTAAGTACCTGGGTCCTTGTGGTGCAAGACTGTTACGAGATAAGCGCATCTTCATGACACACAAGGAATTATCGTTGCCTTAGGAACCCCTGTGACAGGTGAGCTTTGGGATTCTGAGGGTTGAGATGGTAGTGTGTATGGTCTTTATTTGCATTTTACAAAATTTATTATTTGATGCTCGTGATTATTAATTTATCATGCTGAAACCAGAGTTGAAACGCTAATATCGTTCAATGTTTAAAGCCTATTCGTGATTTTGACGGAATATGGTTAAAGTAAAACAATTGTAAAGTCTTTTAACTTCTGACAGATCGAAGCCAACATTCGTCTAAAGGAGTAAATATGAACGCGTTCCAGGGTCCCACAACCGCCTCGCTGGTAATATAATTTGGTTAAGTGTAATGGTGTATAGTATAAAATGACATTTTCATCAATCAGAATTTACTCAGCTGATGTGCATTGATATTTTAGTTGTTGTAAAACCAGTATGTTGAAATTCTTAGCTACTCTGCAGTATGTGACTTACGTCAGTTACGTGTCCTGGTACACCAGACGCTGTCCTTGACAGTGTTAACATGCGGTCGTGATGACACCGCCATGGAGTGGATATTTGCAGAACACATATTACCGTCCGATTTGTCGGATACTTGCTTCAATGCTTCACATTTCTGACACAGCGAACACTCGTTTATCGGGACCCCTCTTGACGGGAAATGCTATTGTTTATAACATACATGATAGGTGAGGTGAGGTGAGGTGAGGTGAGGTGAGGTGAGGTGAGGTGAGGTGAGGTGAGGTGAGGTGGGGTGGGGTGGGGTGGGGTGGGGTGGGGTGGGGTGGGGTGGGGTGAGGTGAGGTGAAATGGGGTTTAACGTCGCTTTCAAGATTATACTATACTATACAAGATTCTGCTTGAACTAGTCCGGACGAATGCCGATTTTATAGTGCTAGCCCACTGAGATGCCATGCCGCAGTATACCGACTCCGAGCCGACGGGTCCTTATTTTATCCCCTTAATGCCGAGCGCCAGACAGGGAAACAACAAGTACCATTTTTAACTTCTTTTGGTATGACGCGGCCGGGGATCGAACCCCGGACCACCCACTCTCCGGGCGGACGCTCTACCGCTAGACACTCCACGGAGGCGGTCCCAGTGTACCGTGTCCGACTCGATCCGATTACTTGGACCGTCGACGTCGAGTTTCACCAAAATGACGAACGTCTATACGTCCAGCGTCACGTTGGTCATTCTCCGACGTATTCTAGTATATACTATAACAGATACTACAGACCAGCGATTTGTTTATCAGGACGATTTATCCAGGAACCGCCAAGTCCGGTTTAACGAGGTCACTCTGTATACCTTGAGGTGTTATGTACATTTTTGTAAGTATTATTAATGATGGCATTTTTTCGTGCAAAAAGCCATTAATAAATGAAACAAGGACAACGCCCAATAGCAAAATGTGTATTTTTGTTTTATGTCGTAAATGATTGACTTTTTAATAATAAGGTCACGTATGTTATCTGTTAGATCTGTAGGATACAGCCCCGGGCTGTGTCGGTCCACGCATTCAGAATTGACAACGCATGTCGGTGTCGCATGTCAACACGCTATCACATTACCAGCGAGGCAGTTGTGGGACCCTGGAACGCGTTCATATTTACTCCTTTAGACGAATGTTGGCTTCGATCTGTCAAAAGTTAAAAGCATATTTTTTGCCCCCTCGTTCTAGATTAAAGCCGACGCATGCTTTGGTAGTTAGATTACATCATCAGATCCGCGTGCGATTATACTGTCCGCGTTGTTATTTGAAATGACAACCCGGTTAATCTTCTCACACACTTGAAACCCCGTTATACCGAATGGTGTTGTTCCTAGTCAGTCCTCCGGATTAACGAATAATTGTTACAGAGTAGTGACTAAATTAACGAATCATTGTTACAGAGTAGTGTCTGAATTAACGAATCATTGTTACACAATATTGTCTGAATTAACGAATCATTGTTACAGAGTAGTGTCTGAATTAACGTATCATTGTTACAGAGTAGTGTCTGAATTAACGTATCATTGTTACAGAGTAGTGTCTGAATTAACGTATCATTGTTACAGAGTAGTGTCTGAATTAACGTATCATTGTTACAGAGTAGTGTCTGAATTAACGTATCATTGTTACAGAGTAGTGTCTGAATTAACGATTAATTGTTACGAAGTATTGACTGAATTAACGTATCATTGTTACAGAGTAGTGTCTGAATTAACGAATAATTGTTACACAATATTGTCTGAATTAACGAATCATTGTTACACATTATTGTCTGAATTAACGAATCATTGTTACACAATATTGTCTGAATTAACAAATCATTGTTACACAATAGTTTCTGAATTAATTAATCATGTTACGAAGTATTGTCTGAATTAACGAATCATTGTTACAGAGTAGTGTCTGAATTAACGATTAATTGTTACAGAGTAGTGTCTGAATTAACGAATCATTGTTACAGAGTAGTGTCCTCTATACAGCGAACATTCAGCGTTTGGAAGTTCCATTATTAATGGGTCATTTATACGTTTCTAATATTTGTTAATCAGGACGATTTTACTGGGAGCGATACTGTCCGAAATATCGAGGTTTCACAACTGTTTGTTGTTTAACGTCGACCTCAGCAATATTCCTGCTAGATGACGGCGGCCTGCAAATAATCGAGTCTGGATCAGACAATCCTGTGATTGACATCGTGATAAACGATCCATGCTATCGGGGTACGATGACACGTCATCAACAAGTCACCGAACCTGACCACCCAATCAACTACATTAGGTTGCTGGGGATCAATTCAACCCGGCTTCCCCATGGGTTCGTTTGTAATCCCACCAAACATAATTACAAACAATTCACGTGGCACGGGTAGCCGGGTTTAACCATTGCCTCCATTGCCTGGTATCTGTTGGTGATTTGTCTCATTGTACTGTGTGCAATTCGCGGTATCATTAACTGATAGATCGATACTTATAATACTGTTTGATTGACCTGAATCACAATCGCCAGGACGCCAATTGGTCCGTTTCAAACATGTTATAGCTACACTTATCCGTTTTCCTCGAGCCCAAATCTATGTATGATACAGTACAAGACCAAGGTTTAGGAACCTGTAGATCACTAACAGTACGCCTCTCGTGAACCACACGGTTTGTTGGTTGGTTTGTTGTTTAGCGACGCACTCAGCAATATTCCAGCTATATGACGGCGGTTGTAAATAATCGAGTCTGGACAGACAATCAAGTGATTGATATCATGAGCATCGATCCACGCAATTGGGATCGATGACATGCATCAACCAAGTCAGCGAGCCTGACGACCCGATCCCGTTAGTCGCCTTTTACGACAAGCATAGTCACCTTTTACGGCAAGCATGGGTTGCTGAAGACCTATTCTACCCCGGAATCTTCTCGGGTCGTGAACCACACAGGTATTGTTAACGTGTTTGCGTGTGAATGAGACTAAAGGTAGGCATCAAGCGTTCACTATAAGCGATGCTTTATCTCAAAACGAGGCTTCTGACTGGTAGACATTTGGAGGGCATTCCAGATTTGACGCATCAGTGACCAACACGATGTCCGATGCCATTGCCTTTTTTGACTTCTACCATATGTTGCCGTGTTTGTTCAGTCGAACATTCGCCTTGCCTTTGCATGTGTTGGGGCAGGATACGCCCACGTTTTCGCGATCACCTGGTATCGTCACTATTTTATAGTGATTCCTAAGCACTTGCTCATGATATCGGCGGACGCACACACTGGATCTTGCTCTTAGTAATTTGTTTGATTGCATGAAAATGGCAATCTTTGTCCCTTTTGTTTCATGATCGTGTCAGTGTTAGCCTTCTCTACACGTACGTCCTAACTTGTAGTTTTTATAACACGCACCGTGCCCTTACCAATGTGACGTATTTAGGTCATTTGATACTTGAGGCCTTCCAGCCTTTTGACTTGCTCGATTCACCAGAGAAATGTCGCTGTATGCTAACCAAAATACATGTACATGTATACATGAGACATGCAGCCTCGTAAGGACCTCCTCCCTACCCCCCCCCCCCCCCCCCCCACACACACACAAAATAAAATAAAAAATAAATAAAAAATAATAAAATAAAATAAATAGATAAATAAATAAATAAAATTAAAATAAAGAAAAAAATATATAAAAAGAGAAAAATAAAAAAAAGAAGAACGGAATCAAGTTTCTGGTCTTTTAGTTTTTTCTAAAATGATGATACGACACAATTCACATACACTGACCAGGGTGCCGTTGTACAAAACAACCTGAGCGCTACAACTGTCGTTAACATTTGTCTATGTTAAGGTATGGAGTTACGATCGCCTCAGCGCTAAGATGGCACCCTGTACAACGAGTTGGCTAAGAGTGTAGAATGCTCTTTTCGCAGCGAGTTCAGTAGGGTGATGTCTAACCTGCACTTGACAATCCAAAAAGCCAACCTGGACAGACACGACATACGTATTCACAGTTTGTACCTTCATTTTCGAGAAAACAGGTTAGAGTCACCTCCCCTTGGATAAAAATCTGGAAAATAATAAAAACTCAAAAAAAAAAGACGAGGCGGGGACCCGAAATATAATGTGTTTCTGGCCTAACGCCACAGGCCACCCATGATGATTTACCCAGCTTTATTCATGTTATTGTGCAGGGATAATTTACAATACAACCCTGTGTATTAAAGGTCTGTAGATCGGACAATATACCATTGTGTCACCGCTACTGAGCAAGGACCTCAGGTGGCCCGTAGACGTGTGTTAAGTGGTGTAATTGTGTATACAGTTTATGTCTGGCGATAAGTAGACTTTATCCTTATGCTAATACAGAGGGCATGTAGGTCAATGGCCTTGATACTGTGTCACCGTAGTAATGTGTTTAGCTGTAAAAGCCTCCTATCTCGGCGATGACTAGGGTATGTTTGCCTGACTAATGCGGGGGGCACGGGTGGCCCAGTCGTCTAAGGCGCCGCAATTCGCTGTGCGGAGTTGCATCCCTTGGGCATGCCATAGAGCTATGGTTGTAGGTTCGAATTATGTTCCTAGATTTGTCAGCACATACCCATGCTTGAGTGTTTCAGCAAAGTGGTAAACATCTGAGACCTGCATCACTTCGGGCTTCCTCCCACATTAAGCTGACACGCCGCGATACAACTGGAATACTGTTCAAGGCGGCGTTATAACCGTATTCTCTCACTCATACCAAAAGACGTAAAACAAGGACTGGTCGGCTCAGAGTCAGTAATTTGTGTCTGAGTGGAGTATTCATGTTCACTCAGTAAGTCAGTACATTGTGATGTGAGGTGAAATGGGGTTTAACGTCGCGTCCACGATTATTGCACTTATATAGCGACAGCATGTGTGCGTGTGCGTGTGCGTGTGCGTGTGCGTGTGCGTGTGTGTCTGACTGATGCCGATTGATAGTGCTAGCTCACCGAGATACCCCTCCGTAGTTTAACATGAATACCCCACTCAGATACAGTATACTGACTCCGAGCCGTCCAGTCCTTGTTTAATCTTTTAAGGTCTTTTGGTATGACTCGGCTGGGGATCGAGTCTCAGTATACTGTCTCAGTATACTGTGTCTGACTCAATCCGATTACCTGGTCTGCCGACGTCGAATTTCATCAAAATGACGAAAGCCAAAGTCCAGCGTCACACTGGTCATTCTCCGACGTCAAGCTAATTTAACATGCTTCCAATGGCGTGAAACCAAACTCAATGACCCGCGTTTTGTAAAAATGAGTTAGGTTCCGTTTATATCGGACTCGAATTAGATAATGGAGAGGACATGCATGTACAATCTGATAGATGTTTGTGGTGTGAGCAGTATTTATTGTTTAACAACCCATGCTTGCTGTAAAAGGCGACTATGCTTGTCACAAGAGGCGACTAACGGGGTCGGGTGGTCAGGCCCGCTGACTTGGTTGATGCATGTCATCATATCCCATTTGCGTAGCTCAATGCTCATGATGTCAATCACTGGCTTGTCTGGTCCAGACTCGATTATTTACAGACCGCCGTCATATAGCTGGAATATTGCTGACTGCGGCGTTAAACAACAAACAAACAAACAAACAAGCACCACTGTTGCGGACCACCCGATCCATTAGGTCGCCTCTTACAATATAGCTAAGTATTAAACAGCAAGCGGTAGCCTGTGCTATGATGTACATGTTACAATGAGCTTGCCATGTTCATAGATGGTTCTTGTTGTCTTCCAGACGCCCTGTCATGATGTAGAGGCCTCACAGCGCCACCCCCACCATGCTCCACTCCGTGTATATTCATCACTGGTTCTTGTTGTCTTCCAGACGCCCCGTCATGATGTAGAGGCCTCACAGCGCCACCCCCACCATGCGCCACTCCGTGTATATTCATCACTGGTTCTTCTTGTCTTCCAGACGCCCTGTCATGATGTAGAGGCCTCACAGCGCCACCCCCACCATGCGCTACTCCGTGTATATTCATCACTGGTTCTTCTTGTCTTCCAGACGCCCTGTCATGATGTAGAGGCCTCACAGCGCCACCCCCACCATGCGCTACTCCGTGTATATTCATCACTGGTTCTTCTTGTCTTCCAGACGCCCTGTCATGATGTAGAGGCCTCACAGCGCCACCCCCACCATGCGCCACTCCGTGTATGTTCGTGTATGTTTATAACTAGTTCTTCTTGTCTTCCAGACGCCCCGTCATGATGTAGAGGCCTCACAGCGCCACCCCCACCATGCGCCACTCCGTGTATCTCCACGTACTCTCGTCCTTCAACATCATCCTCATTGGACTAGCGAGTAAGTACACTATTAACTGGTCAAACACTGTATGGATGTTCGTTATTTGTGAACGAGTGGGAGAGTATGGTGTTACGCCGCTTTGAGCAATATTCTAGCAGTATCACGGCGGGGGACACCAGAAATGGGCTTCACACATTGTAGACATGTTGGGAATCGAACCCGGGTCTTCGACCTTTTAACCACTTGGCTACCCCACCGCCCCTGTTCGTTATTAAGTCGTATGTGAACATATATTCTATGTTCAGGGTTTCAAATGACGCAGTAGCGTGTCACCCCTATTGTAAACCTCTCGGTGTTAACATGTGAGGACACCTCTGTTGGAGCTCAGGATATTTCTTAACTCTCAAAGGGGAAGTAACACATGGTAGTGTATTCGTTCTGTAGATTGACAGAAATCAAAATAATTTCATGACTCTGAAAACAAGAGCATGACAACGCGCACTTCCATGTATTTGTGATCGTGGAGACAATAATTACCTACAACACATCCATCAGCTTACACGACGTTCTTTGATTTGTGTCGATTCTTTTAAATCTGATAATATCATTTTTCATTGATGAATAAGAACTCATAGGAGGGGCTTTATCGAACCACTTGCAGGTATTCGATATATGCAGTGTTGACTGGAACATTAATACAGAGCTGTTAAAAAGTTCGAAGTCGGATGTAACACTCTATTTCCCTAATTTTTGAGCCATATATGCCCTTAAATAACGAAAGTGCTGACATGTTCAAAGAGATTGTTGGAAAGAAAAATACAGATATCATTGCAGAATTGCGTTAATATTATCGTTTCCGACACACCAAAGAATGGTTTTGAAATTGGACGACTTTTTTTGTATTTCATTACGGTTTACCTACGACAGTGATGCTGTTAAGTACAAATATAGCTGAGTCAGAGCTATTAATTATTGGCTTGTATCATGGAAAGTTATTTATGCTGGATGGAAGACTTGCGGAACGGTTAGGAACACATCAACCCAAAACATCAACAAAACAACAACAACAAAGCAGCAATATGTTTTCGATATAAAACGTTTGAACTCCCTTATGTGAAATGAGTGAGTGAGTGAGTGAGTTGGGTTTAACGCCGCTTTTAACATTATTCCAGTTATATCGCGGCGTGTCAGCTTAATGTGGGAGGATAGCCCGAAGTGATGCAGGTCTCAAACGTTAACCACTTCGGTGAAACCCACGAGCACGGGTATGGTGCTGACAAACCTAGAAACATAATCGGGGCGAACCGGGATACGAACCCACAGGTTTCTGGCGTGCCCAAGTGACGCCACTCTGCACAGCGAATCGCGGCGCCTTAGACGACTGGGCTACCCGTGCCCCCTTATGTGAAATGATAATTTTGAATGTCATTTTCATGTTGTTGTTTTCTTTTTCTTGCAGCCAATGGAAGCACGTACTGCGAACACGTGCGCTGTGAGAATAACAACCCCTGCAGAACTATCTTCTCCCACGGCAAGGGGGACAGCCATGTTTCCGCCGAATGTGTGTGTCACGGGAAGTGGGCGGGGACACTGTGCGAGTCCCAGATCCACGTGACTCCCGGCGTCATCACGTCCTCCAGTGCCGAGGTCGTCATCAGTATCAAAAGTCCAAACACAAACACTCTGCAGCCCAGCCAACATAGTTTCTCATACACCCTCATGTATTGGAACAACAGCACAGACCACGCCTGCGCACTGCTACAGGAACTGACGTCACAATCCTACGATGTTGTTGGTTTAGAACCAAGTACAGATTATACAATATGTGTTGAAAGTGGGATGGTGGAAACGTGTTTCTTGACGTATCACAACGATACGACGTTATCCACAAACTGCCTCGTTATAACAACGGAAGGGTTTACAAGTCGTTCACATTCCAATAATGCAGCGGCCATTGCTGCCAGCATACTCATCGTCATTGTCGTTCTAGGAATACTTTTCGCTGCAATTATTTTGAGAAGAAGACATTTTTTATTAGTCGACAACTTATTTGGGATGTGTCGATGTGCTTGTTGTCGAAAGAGGCGCCCTCGGGCGTCTATGGCAGCTACTGACTTAATTGTCTTCCCTGATTCACCGTTAATGGAGACTTCGACAAAATTAGACTTTGCTCCATCGAGTCCCGGGAAGCCGAAACATCGGTTATTAAAACAGCGGTCCAGAGGATATGCTGCGTATTCAACGAAAAATGAAAAGAAAATAGTTCTGACAACCGTATTAGAATATAATCAAGATGGAGAGCTGTTAGAAACTGATCCATTGTCACATATAACTTGAGTGCAATGTTTGTGTAGTGACGATGTTCTTGATCAACACTGGTGCTTAAACAATGTTTGGAAACGGTTGGCCCCGTCGTTTAAGGCGCCGCCATTGGCCGTGCAGAGTTGCGTCCCTTGGGCACGCCAGTAACTTATGATCGCGGGTTCGAATCCCGGTTCGTCCAGATTATGTTTCTGGGTTTGTCAGCACCATGCCATGGTTTTGGGTTTCACTAAAGTGGTAAACGTCTCAGACCTGAATCACATCGGGCCTAACACACAAGTTGACATGCTGTGATATAACTGGAATACTGTTTAAAGCGGCGTTAAAAACCCAACTCACTCACTCACTTACTCTAAACAACGTGCTTGCTGCATCTGTCTCACTGTCCGAATCGGTAATTATCATGTAAAGTATTTGAACTACATGTATTATATCAAAAAATAAAATATTTGCTCTATTTTATATATATGGTATTATTCAAAAGGTTGTATATTCCAGTTTAGAATTGGTGACATGTAGCCATCATTTGTTTGTTTGTTGTTTAACGCCGGTAACAACAAGTTGTTGTTGTTTGTTGTTTAACGCCACACTCAGCAATATGCCAACTATATGACGGCGATCTGTAAATAATCAAGTCTGGACCAGACAATCCAGTGATTGAGATCATGAGCATAGATCCACGCACATGGGATACGATGACATGCATCAACCAAGTCAGCAAGCCTGACCACCCGATCCCGTTAGTCGCCCTTTACGACAAGCATAGTCGCCTCTTATGAAGAACACAGTCGTCTCTTATTACAAGCATGGGTTGCGGAAGACATATTCCAACCCGGATATGTAACCATTAGCACGGTTAGAGGTACACAATGGATCGTGTGGTCAGGCACATTTCATCGTACCACGATGGTATGGATTATTGCTCATAATATCAATCACTGGGATGTCTGGTCGCTGGTATAGCAGGAACATGGCTGACTGTGGCGTTGAACAACATAAACGCTTCAACTTAGGAAAGCGACTCCCAAAAGCAAAGACGAGCACTATTACAACTGTACTGCGGACACATAAACCAGCTGTTAGACAAAGATAACTATCACGCCGTCTGTATACGATGCCACGCACTCAGGAAGCCCTGTCCCTGGACACGACCTGCACCATTAAGTCAAGAACAGGACGGTCCATCTCGGGGTTTGATGAGATTTGAAGTCCGGGGCCGGTTTCACAAAGCGATCCAATCGTGACGACAGCTGTACGTCCTTTACCGTGACATGAACTTATAGTGCAGCCGTTTCGTGATACATTGTGCGCTGTGAAAAAGCATGAAACTTGGTGATGACATTCCAAATATTTTCAGATATGGGGCCAACACCCAAAATCTAACATGGCCGCCAAATCCAATATGGCCACCATGGAGGAATGTAATTCTTGTAAAGCTCATGTGAACATGACCCACAACCTAGATATTTAATGTAAAATGAACGTTTTGGAATGTATTTACCCAACACCATATCTGTAAAGTAAATAACTGTATCATAATAGACTTTATGTTGATTTAGGTAATTTAAAGTGTGAAAAAAAAGTGAAAGAAGTATGATTTCCTTTCTTTTTCGGTATATCTTTAAGAAAAACTTCATTAAAGCCGATTAACTATACCAATACTGTATACTCATATGGTGAAGACAATGACAACAACAGAATATTTTAGGAACAACATTTGTATTTATAAAATATGCTGTAATGGCTAATGGTTTTGGTTGGTTAGTGACAATCAAATGCGATCACCGTTGCCACCACATTTGCAAAGTGGTGTGCCAATTAAATGTGCCACATTACAGTCACACCTTGCTCTGCAACCCCTCTCAGACTTCCAACTACATCTCAGAATCTCTTGGCATGTCTTAGAAGCTTGTGGTCGTGTAGTCCACAAAGGCTCATAGCTCCACTATTACGACAGTCGTGGCGCTCCGGTAAGGGGAAATTAATCCACGTGCAGATCAGGGCATAAACAGCATGATAGTCCCCAGACCCGTGAACATCCGGGTAGGATAGGTCTTCAGCAACCCATGCTTGCCGCAAAAGGCGACTATGCTTGTCGTAAGAGGCGACTAACGGGCTCAGGTGGTCAGGCCCGCTGACATGGTAGATGCATGTCATCGTATCAAAATTGATCGATGCTCATGATGACAATCACTGGATTGTCTGGTTCAGACTCGATTATTAACAGACCGCCGTCACATAGCTGGGATACTGCTGAGTGCGGCGTTAAACAACAAACCAAATCAAAACTTAAGTCCTACCACCTCATCAAAGGGGGGTAATTCCAAACACCTTCGTGTCGAAATTGTCATGTCATCGAACACTGGATCCATGATTTTATGTGCGCATCTCCTGGTATATTTGTCGGTTGTTCATCGCTTTTACGGCGTCATGTTATTTAAGAAATAAACGACGAGTTGTTTATCGTACAATTAAAGAGTGAGTGAGTATGGTTTTACGCCGCTTTTAGCAATATTCCAGCAATATCACGGCGGGGGGCACCAGAAATGGGCTTCACACATTGTGCCCATGTCGGGAATCGAACCCGGGTCTTCGGCGTGACGAGCGAACGCTTTAACCACTAGGCTACCCGACCGCCCCCGTACAATAAATCACTGCAGGGAGAATAAATCACTCAGGTCTGGTATATTCTCCATGCAGTGTTTTAATGTGTTTTACAGTGTTTTAAACAAGACCACGAGTCATTTATTTCTTATAACAGATATCAGCATTATGTACAGCCTCTTTAAGATGATAAATGATGATAAAATGAACAAGCTTTAAATATATTTACCCGTAAGTCCATTTTATGCACAGGTGGATATTTCCCGCATATTCTCACAATCCTCACGTCGATTACCTGTACCTTTTCTCCCAGTACCGATTGTCATCTCTCTCCCGCTTGCGGATGCAATCGTTCGGCCATCACTTTTATCTGCGTTGCCCAGCTACAACAACAGGATGACGTCACTGGAGGTTTATAACTATGAGGAACAACTCACTAGACACTCCCCTCTCAAAAATAACGTCGTCCAATATATGACGTCAAGTTGCGAGCGCAAGTTCGAATATCCTGAAATGACTTCATGATAGAACAATGTTTTATCGTGAATTTTACCACACATTTGTTCTTCATTGTTCTTTGCGATTTATCGCGTAGCTTTGTTATATTCTGGGATACGTAACTGAACAGCATTGTTCCAATGTGTATTTAGAGTTAGCGGCCAGCCACAAGCTCCTCACAGCGCTATTCCGTTAGCGGAACTCTCTGTACTATCGCTGCCACCAGTGGAAAATTCCACACCGTGATGGGTGGCTAAAACCATGCATGGAGTTGAGCAGCTGACTGACCGTTATGTATACAAAAAAGTGATGACTGCTGTGACGCCTAATATTCTCACCCCTGCTAAATTGATTTCTTTGTCAATTTCTTTTGTCAATTTGAATTTCTGTTTCATTACAGCTATCATGTAATTGGCATAGTAACAATGTAATTTGATCAAACAAAAAGGTAACTTCATCTGAGAAATATGGTCAGTTGTAAACCTTTTCAAAATCCACTATGACGGCATTCTCAAACACAGAAATAAAAGTATAAACATTACAACATTTGAGGTTAGAGGGCAAATTTCAAGATTCTAATCATGGCCGCGACCACACTGGTGGAGGCTATGTTGTCACGTGACGAAGTTGTCACGTGCTGGAAAGGAGCTTGCTCAAACCAATGATAATGCGGTTTCGCCAAGAAAACAGTTAAGCAAGGGTATATTCATTTAACGTGGGACCGCCTCCGTGGTCTAGAGGTAGAGCGTCCGCCCGGAGAGCGGAAGGTCCGGGGTTCGATCCCCGACCGCGTCATACCAAAAGACGTTAAAGGATGGTACTTGTTGTTACCCTGTCTGGCGCTCGGCATTAAGGGGCTAAAACAAGGACTGGTCGGCTCGGAGTCAGTATACTGTGTCTGAGTGGGGTATTCATGTTAAACTGCGGCATGGTATCTCAGTGGGCTAGCACTATAAATCGGCATCAGTCCGGACTAGTACAAGCAGCCACACAAACACACACACGTACATGCACGTCGCTATATAAGTGCAATAATCTTGGACGCGACGTTAAACCCCATTCCACCATCACCACATTTAACGTTGGTACGGTTGAAAGCATATATTTTACCCAACACCTTCCCCGTTCAACACCAGGTCTTACACTTACTCACTGTACTCCTTATTCCAAATCTGCCGGCGTCTTGACGTTAAAAGATGGTACTTGTTGTTACCACCCATGAACATCCGGGGCAGAATCGGTCTTCAGCAACCCATGCTTGCCGTAAAAGGCGACTATGCTTGTCGTAAGAGGCGACTAACGGGATCGGGTCGTCAGGCTCGCTGACTTGGTTGATGCCATCTTCCCGAGGCAAGAGAGTTAACTGACTATAAAAGTTTCCAAGTGATACGAGAGGGGGAATCTGATTGGTCCATAGGAGAGGTATGGAAGGGACATAACTCGTTATAGCCACAGGTGGCGCTACGATCGAGCCCAGGAATTCCATCCCAGTTCGATAAGGGTGGAAACTGGACTTTTTAAGTCAGTTAACTCTCTCGCCTTGGGAAGATGGGTTGATGCATGGCATCGTGTCCCAACTGCGTGGATCGATGCTCATGATGTCAATCACTGCCTTGTCTTGTCCAGACTTGATTATTTACAGACCGCCGTCATATAAGTTGGAATATTGCTGAGTGTGGCGTTAAACAACAAACAACAACAACTTGTTGTTACCCTACCCCTCTCTAAATTAAAACAAAGACTGGGCTGCTTGGAGTCAATTTACTGCGGCGTATTACAAGCAGACAGAAACTTTGTAAGAACGATTCCAGGTATAATAACAGCACTAATAGGATTTGATCCGGCGGCCATGTTGAAAATGTCATTGTAGGCAAAAATTCAGCCATTTCTTAATGACATCTGATACGTTTGTTTCGCTCGTCACGCCGAAGACCCGGGTTCGATTACCGAAATGGGTACAATGTGTGAAGCCCATTCTTGGTGTCCCCCGTCGTGATATTGCTGGAATATTGCTAAAAGCGGCGTAAAACCATACTCACTCACTGATACGTTTGTTGTCATATTGTGATCCAGCTTCCGTCATTGACGTTCACATATGCCCGTTTTTTCTTGTGTCTGTGTTTTTTGACAGGCTCTCTGAAACTACAAAACTTATGAAGCTGAACTTTTGCATGAATGATCAGATGGAGTCTCTTAAACGTGCTAGCAGAATTCAACTCCGATTCCATCACGGTACCCATATTAGATGAAACCTCAACGCCAGAGAATATCAGTCTCGATTATCTGCCGATATAGATTCTATTTGGCGTAAAAATAGCGGTGAAAATGATATGAATGGATCACAGAAAGTGGGCGTTTCC